TCCTTCTATTAGCTTTAAGGCTTTTTTGATTCTATACCCAGTCCAGGCTGATCAAACAGAAAAGTAGAAAGGGAGGCAGCGGGAAAGAAGTTTTTAAAAAAATGGGAGAGGGGATGTGAAGAGAGAGAAAAAGATCTGGTGATGGAAAAAGGTGGCACTGCTAAAATAATGTGTTCTTTCTTGGACTGGGCTTCCCATTATGGTAGTTCTACAGCCTATCCCTTGTATCCAAGAAAATAAAGACATTAAGAACAACTTCCTTTTTCTCAAAAAGATTCGGCATCCATACCGCAGAAATCAAACACTATAACTGCAAGCAGATCCAAACAATAGAAGCATGAAATACCTGCACTATCTGTGTTAAAAAGAGAATTGCTGTTATATGGTAATAAGACAACCAGTATCTAATTACCATATATTCAGCTCAAAATATAATCCACGACGACAGGAGTTGAAAAATAACGTTTAAAATTTAACCTATTACATTTGAGGGCAGGCAACCACACAAGCATTCTACAAAACAGCATAGTTTTATTTAAGAACAAAACCTCAATCTGTTACTGTATGTAGGTTTTCTACTAATTGCTGTTACATGGACATAATTAAATCAACAGTGAAAGCAAAAAGACAGCTTTTACGAGCAATTCTTACACATGAATCCACATTTGTTAAAGCGTTCCCCAAAAGCAAAACACATTTAGCCTCAACATGTAGTAACGCTGTCACCCCAAATTATATTCCTCAGTAGCTTAAAAAAAAATCATAACAATTAAAACTCCTTTAAAAGTTGCCCTATAATTTCATATCCATAAGGCCTTGCTTGTGATTAAAAAAAAATCAAGGAAATATTTCTCCCCCTAATTTAACCATTGTTTAATTTTCTTTTGTACCCCTTTTTTTTTCTTTTCCCTCTTTCTCCTCCAACCATTTATACCATTTCTCCCAGACTAAGTAGTATTCTGTTTCATGGAAACAAATGGGAAGATATAAATTGTGGAAAGGAAACTAGGGACCTGTTTATGTTCAATGTAAATAAAATATTTAGATTAAGAGAATATACATACATACATATATATATATATATGATATACTAGAAATATATGTATAAAAGGTAAAGATAAGAAAGAGAAAATGTATAAATATAGATTACTGATGCGAAGATGTTGAAAAGAAGATGTAAAATCTGTTTTTCTTTGTTTTGTTTGTTGGTTTGTTTGTTTATATGTTTGTTTGGTTTTTTTAAAAAAAATGTTCAATAAAAATTATTTTTTAAAAAATCAAGGAAAAATGAAGAATAAGCATTCTTACATGTTCAAAATAAAAAGGTTGTAGAAATTACAACAAAGCTGTCATCTATATTTTGCCCCCAAAGGATGTGTTTTCTCCATATTCAGGCTAAACCAAAGACACAGCACTTATCTAGAGTCAGAATAACAGAGTTGAAAGGGACTCTTGGAGGTCTTCTAGCCCAACTCCCTGCTCGAGCATTTCCATATGATATTTTAAGGATTTATGAGTAAAAAACAAAAACAAAACAGAGACCCACAAACACATGCAGAATCTGTGTAAGGCAAACTGTTCCTGCATTTTTTTTTTTAAAAAAAAAAACAGTTTCAACTATGTTTCAACCTCAGCTCAGAGGGCAAAGAACTGAAGCCTGAACAAACTTGTTCCAAATAGTCTGGCTTTTATTGCAGGGTCCAGGAAGAGGCCAGCTGATGCTGGTCAGTTTTGCCTGAGGAGAAATATTTCAAGACTAACAAGCTTCTCTCTGCACACTTCTATGCTGCTGAGTTTCAAATGGAAAAATCTGCTTTCTCTTTCTACCAAAAGAGAGATTGTCTTAGGAAAAGCATCCAAGAGAAGGTAAGTACGGAAGACAAACAATTCTGTTTACAAGAATGAGTCATTTGAGTCCTCATAAAAGAAGAATGGGCAGGTTTCCAGTTGTTGTTTTTTGTTTTTCGGAAGGGGGGGGGAGTAGTAGAGTGCCAAGATCTACCAGTTGGAGCCTGGTGCCAAAGTCTTGCATTTAAGTGATAAATCGCTCTGAATCCAAGCATTTGTGTGCAGTACCAGAAAGAGGCAGAACTCACAGTCCCTCCACATAAAGATCCACCTCAAGTTACCCCAATACTTCTCTTCAGCTGTGTTGTGTCAGAGAAAGGGGAAAAAAAATTGCGTTGTGGAAGAACAAGGGTCAGAAATTTTAGCTGACCAAACTTGCCAAAAGTATCTACTTCTGATACAGTGGATTTTGCCCCATTTTACGACCTTTCTTACCACAGTTGTTAAGTGAATCACTGCAGTTATTAAACTAGTAACGTGATTAAGTGAAACTGGCAAATTGCCAGATTTTGATCACATGATCATGGGGGATGCCGCAACGGTCGTAAGTGTGAAAAACGATCATGTCACTTTTTTTATTGTAACTTCAGTCATTAGACAAATGGTAGTGAGGAATACCTGTACAGGTAGAGGTAGTCCTTGACTTACGACCACAATTGAGCCCAACATTTCTGTTGTTAAGTGAGACATTCGTTGAGTGAGTCTTGCCCACATTTTACAACCTTTCTTGCCATAGTTACTACAGTAAGTGAATCACTGCAGTTGAAGTTAGTAACCTGGCTGCTAAGTGAATCTGGTTTCCCCGTTGACTTTGCTTGTCAAAAGGTCACAAAAGGGGATCAGATGACCTTGGGATACAGCAACGGTCGTAAGTATGAGCCAGATACCAAACATCTGAATTTTGATCACACGATCATGGGGATGCCGCAAAGGTCGTAACTGTGAAAAACGGCCACAAGTCACTTTTTTCAGTGCCGTTGTAACTTTGAATGATCACTGAATGAACTGTTGTAAGTCGAGGACTATCTGCATGTGAGATGGGCAGCTAAATGTTACTAAATAAATAAAATGTACAAAATACTTCTGTGCACTTTGATTAAAATTATTTAGAAGACACAGGCATGCGAAAAGAGTTAAAGAGAGGAAATTAAGGTTCAGAAATGAAACCATCACTGCTAAGACTCGTGAGCATGTAAGAATACCGAACATCTCCCATATGTCTATTTTAAGATTCATAGAATTCAACAGAGTGCTTTCTACAATGGCCACCTGGGTGTATCTGGAAAGTTCGCCGTTCATCAGCTAACAGCATCTGACGTTCAAAGGAAGACTGCCTTTGAACACAGAGCTTCTAGTAACCACAAGTCATTAACAGTATCTCTTTCTGACTTCTGTAAAGCTAAGGGCAGCAATGCCTAGAATTCACACCATGGTGAGAACTTTCAAACCAAGAGCACATAATTCAACAGAACTACAAGTCACATCCATCTGGAGAACGTCGGAGTAGAAAGGGTTCTTCTCCATTAATTTACCCAAGCAGTTTTTAAAGCCCTATATGCCAGCAGGAAGCCATGAAGATAACTGGAGGCAGTTCTGTGAGTTAATTCCGTCCTACTTATAAACTGCTGCTACATTATTTTAGATATTCTGCCCCGTTGTTCAATCATGCCCTGCCTGAATGACAATTTACAAGTCTTGAGACATGCCTGCTCGGTTCTAAGCCGGAAAACATAAAAAGGGACTTACGGTATTTGGCACTACATATCATTACAGTGGCGAGACTGACATATGCTCAACTCTGGAAAAATCAAAACATCCCAACAGAGGAGGCTATTATAAAAAGAATTTTAGAATGTGCGGAAGGAGATATGCTAACTAAAAAATTAAAGGATAGAGAGCAAACACAAGTAGATTTAGCTTGGGACAAATTTTATAAATGGTTAGAAAAGAGGAAACTATAACCCACATTAGATGAGGAATGGTATTTAATGAGAAATTTATATTATATAGGATAAGTGAGGTCGGATAGACCTAATTGATGTATTAAGGTATATAAGTTGTTCTGTCTTCTCCAGAATATAATTTAGAGTTATAGTACCGAATATTTGTTCATTAAGGTACTATATGGAAGTATGTATGTTTATTGTTGTATTGTTTTTTGTGTGTCACTTTATGTTGTGTTGTCTTTTCTTTTTAACTGAAATGTAAATAAAGATTTTTTTTTTTAAAAAAAAGACAATTTACAAGTCTTTTGAATAAGCAAATGAAACAAATTAATTGCTGGACACCAAAGCACTAATAAAGTTTTCTGTCTTTTCTGCTCTGGCTCCCTCCCCCTGGAACATCTCCTCCCCACCTCCAAGGTCAGATCTGCTCCACCCTTTTTTGAAAGGCCTTAAAGGCATGGAGCACCAATGGGAATGTGGCACTTTGGAGGGGGCTAATGGGAGTTAGATAATACTCCACCTCCTCCTTGGGCACACTTTTCTCCTTCCCTCTCCACCCTTAAGCTTTATTTTAGTTTCATTTTAAATTTAAGATCTTTATTTATTGTTTTGATTATTAATGGTGTGCTTTTAATCGATGTCTGAAAGCCGCCTACAGTCGCCTTTGGCAAGATGGCCTGTATACAAGTTTAATAAATAAAAATACTTTCTATCCTACCCATAATTTTATGAGTCTATCGCTACTATGTTTCCACTACTGCCTTTTGTCCGTAAATTAAATTAATACCTCCCAAACTATACCACCTGAAAATACAGCTGACTTTCCCCAAAGGAAGATGAATATGCCTCTCAATTAGTATTTTCTAAAGATATAAACCATGCTTTTCAGCATATATATTATGTCATTAAACAAACTGGGAGGAAAGGATATTCCACACTGCAAAAAAATCAAGCCACATTGATTTGTGGCTTCTGCTCAGTCCCATCTTAACCCTTTCCACCAAATTTAAAAAGCCACAGGTTAACGCAATTATCTCACTCATACATTCCTACATATTGACTTCCCCTCCCCACACAAAGGGAAACAACGTTCTAGACCTCACTGGCTGGGAAGGGGGAAAAAAATCAACAACTTAACCAGCAGAACCACTGAATAAGATTTCTGTCATTTAAAGATAAGAAGAAAATATATATTTTACACCTTACCTGCTTGAATTGTTCTTCATAAGTCCAATCTCCATGGTCCAGGACTTGAGGCTGCAACTGTGACAGGCTTTGCTGGGGAACCCCAGAATGGCCCCGTTCTTGCCCCCCTACCAGTCTGGAAGGTTCTCCTCGGTATTGCTGGGGGGTTTGTTGTTTGTGCAGAAATGGGGTGCCGGGGCTTGATGTAGCCACTGCACTGGAGCCAAGCCCTCCCTCCACCATTTCTTCTTCTTCTTCCTCATAGTCTTCTTCCTCCTCCTCACCCAGGTCTTCTTCAAAATCTTCAACCCACTTGCCCTTCCTAAAAGAGGGAGAGAATTATAAGGAGGAAAATGTGAATACCTAAAGAAGGGTAATAAAAATGGTGACTTTGGGATCTAAATACACCTCCAGATAACCTCCCTGATGCCCATCAAGCTTTAATAACAGGCATGTTTAGGTTAAAATAATTAAATAGCAAGCTGGCATCTTGCAAAGCACCATCAGCTTGTATCATAGTCACTTGCAGCAATACCTTTGCACCCCAGTAAGTCTCTTAAAAATGACAGACAGCATTCCAATAATTATTTTGGGAGGAACTGTACCCACCACAGCAGCCATTCCAGGAGCAGGCAGATTTCCCATAACATAATGTAATGCGACTGGCAGCTATCACAGGCTTGCCAATATTCCAAATATGCTCTGTCCCAAAAAGTTGTTTATTCTAGCCTACAGTCAATCCTACACAAAAGATAGTCTTGCTATCAGATGCCTGAATTACAGCATAAATTTGGGAGGGGGGCAGGGGACCTTTTTTTTTTCTTCAAGTAGCTAAGAGACAAGAAACTGCAGTCTCCCAGCACTCCTTTTTATGACTTGAATTGTTAACTGGAGGCCCAAAACTTTGGTCTGTTTTACTATTTCTGGGGAGAGCAGATGGGGGGAGGGGGGCTTAAAGGGGGGGGGGAGATACTGTGGCCCTGCTTAGATTTTAGACACCACTTCATTCCTTAAGAACACTGAAAAACTTCAAAAACTGAGGTTCTGTTTCAACTGGCTGTTGGGGTACAGCCCTTCACGAAGACTGCTTTCAGGTCTCTCCCTCACCCACCCCACTACAGAAGCCATCCCCTAGACGTCAGGCAGCTGGTTATGGGAATCAAACTCCCAACAGATCTGAAGGTTGCTAGAGCAGAAGTATCTGACTGCTGAATAAACAAAGGCATATTTAGACACACTTCACTCCCCTCCAAAGATTCCGGAAAAATGGCATTCTCTCCCCCCACCTCCCTTTGTACTTTTTTTTTTTTTTTAAATAGGTTGGAAATTTTCAAACAAGGATCAGGAACTTAATCAAAAAGCCTAAGGCATTAAAAACTAGCCAGACTGGTTTTGCCTTAAGAGCTGCTGGTTTTATTGTCTCCTGACCCCAACAACACCGGGGAGGGGCCCAGGAGCCTGACGGGAGAAACACACCAAATTACCAAATCAAGAGCAAGAGCAGTCAAATGAGAGATAATCTTTCTTTCCAAACATTTTGCAATGTTCTGTGTGAGCCGCAAATCAACTCAACTCGTTATTTATTTTATCCCACCCTGGGATGGGTGAATGATACCTTTTTACCTTTGAAATAATAATTTAAAAACGACAGAGCTCCAGTTTATAAAATGGCTACTCTGTCATCCAAGGCAAAAGGGATAGCATCGAAGGGAAACAAACCCTTGGCTTAGGTCACAGCCCAGAAAGTTTGTGAATTACATGTTTTAGCACAAGAATTACAAGGTAGCACATACAGCTATGCCCCAACCTTCCATTCCAATGTCCCCACAAAGTATAAAGTCCACTCCTTAACTTCTGACCGCTGAGGGGCCAGGACAAAAATTACATTTGATTTTTTTGATTTCACTGAACAATAATCTAGCATTAAAAATATTTCATATGATTCCTGTCCAATCATGCATTGGTCACATTAAAAATTACAATTTGGTTGAAAAAACAGACAGACCTGAAAGGTCTCTGGGGTAGTGACTTTTAAGGGGGAGGAGGGGGATGTCAAAAAAACCCCAAAAAACCCAAGATGATCATTGCTTGTTATATAAATTGAAACTCTACCCCTTTTAATAAAGTCATGAGTAATGCCCATAATAAAGGGGCAGGTCTTTGATCACAGGGATGCCATCTTGATTTTTTGACAATGAGCCCCCTCCTCCACACCCCTTCATTTGTGGCACAAGTCATGTGGGCCTTCATGATCTAAGCATTTGAGCCCCTTATGAGGACACTAACATAATAGCAAGAAGTGCTGGGTGGGCCTCAGACAAGACTTACATGTCCTCTTCTTCTGAGCCTATTTCTCGGGGGTATTCACCATCTTCTTCCTCCTCCTCCTCTTCTTCCTCCTCTTCTTCCCCTACAAGCTCTTCTTCCTCCTCTGAAGAATGGCTCTCCTCCGACCCAACTGGGCTGGATGACTGTCTGAGGCCAGCCGCAGCTGCCCGCATAGCTGCCAGGGCCGCTATCTGTGCCCTCTGGATTCGGGCAGTGTCAGGTTCTCCCCCCTCTTCAGAGAGAGGAGGGTCCTGGCTGCGGCCACGGGGCAACGCTGTGATGCCAGGGGCTGACAACATGGTGGTCGGATTTGGTGCAGGGAGGGGCAGAGGATTGCCCTGCGGCTGGTCCTGTTGCTGCCGCGCCTCCATCTCTTGCTGCAGCCGGGCACGTTGTTGGCGCTGCAGGTTCTCCATGACGGCCTGCAGCTTCATGGCTCTGCCTGCAGGGGGCAGTGTCCTGGCAGAGGAAGTCAGAGGGGCAGAGCACGGCTCCAAAGGGGAGGAGCCTATGCTTTGCACAGGAGAGGGAGGGGCTGTAGAATAGCGATCAGTCGGGGTCAGCGCCGTGAGGAATGCTGGGAGATGCCCTCTGCCCCAGATGTTCTGGGGAGGGCAATCACTTTAAAAAGAGTTACAAGACTGCACTGTCTTATGGGTTAGGGAGAAGCCCGTGGGACCATTAACCACTTCCAAAAGGCGGCTCTTTCCACAGCAAGAGGACGACAGCAAGTCAATTTGTACAGAAAGGAATTTGCACAGATTATTTTTTAAAAGGCTATTCAAATACCATGATGCTTTAAAAATTAGCCGTGATCCTGAAGTTCAAGGTCCCACGTTCTACACAACCACGTTGCTTTGCGCCAACCTGAACTGAAGTTTAACCCTGTTCTTTTGCCACGTTTCTTTCCATCCAAAGAGGGCTTAGGGGCAATCTGCAAATTGTGAGTTGTCCACCTCTTCTTCGTCATCTAGGCATCAGTGAAAAGCCTGTCCTTTAAAAAAGTAAACACAAACATATACAGAGAAAACATTAGGATGGCAAGAACTAGAAACTTGACTTCTTGACAAAGGCTAATTTATCCGAATATAGGAACTATACAAAATCTAGCTGTTGATCTCCTAAGGTGTGTTTTATTTTTATTTTTTAAACAATATTTTTTTATTTTTTCAAACATAAACATAAAATATATTTTTCAAAAACGAAGTCTCGATCCAGTCATAGATAGGTGCAACCGCTTACATTTCTTTAACAAGCTCCATTCACAATTTCCCGTTACATCTTTTAAAATTAGAAATCAGGGGGGTGTTTTATTGAAGTGGCTACCCCAATGCCTGTCTATAAAAAGACAGATAGAAAATGGATTTAAAAATGGTAGATATAGACGACAGAAGAAGAAGAACTCACTAGGATCAGAAGCTTTAATCTGAATCACATGGAAAGTGGAAATAAGAAATACTATCCCTGAAGCCAACTTTATCAATAAGATGCTATAAACATCACATACCCACAGACACATGTATGTACATATAATACACACATAAACAAAAGTGGAAGCAATTATAAAAAGGGGAACATCATTTTTTAAAAAAAACAAACAGGAAGGTAGGAAAGAGTTTTTCAGCTTTTGCCAGCAAAACCTTTGGTCAGAAGGGAGCTGCGGTGCAGTTTTTAGACAATGTCCACAGTTAATGATTGTGGCTTATAACCAACTCTCTACCTCTTACAAAATGTATTTCAAGATAAAGAGCATGTTCACACAGTCCACAAACAAGACTTTTAATTGTATTTCTACTGATCTCTCAGGAGGCATCGGCCCAAATAAATGTATTTACTCGGTAAATTTGCATGGGTGCCTATCTTAAATAATGCCTGGTGGCTAACACAAATAAAAAATCAAAATGTTGATATAAAAACAGTAGAAAACAAACAATAAAATATATGCTGTTACAAACAATCATTCTTCAACTCACACAAAGCAAAAACACCCAACCAGATCCCATGACTATCCTGCCCCAAAAGCCCGAGGGAACAGCCAGGTTTTTAAGCCCTTCCAAAAGGTAGACAAGGTTAAATTACTATACCTTAAGAATTCTCACTAGCCTATTTGCCACGCATAACCACATTCCTATTCATAGCCTGATGCCCTAAAAGATTGGGGGGAGGAGGGGCAGAGGCAACAACTACTTTCTCTAATTTATATTTGGGTCACCTAGACATAATGATTCCTTGCCCCTGGCAACCAAAGCTTATTACCGTATTTTCTAACATCCATCAAAACTTCCCACAACGCCTCTGAATATCACAGGGAAGATCATCATCTCTCTAGGAAAAGGAAACATTCTGGCATTATCTGCTCCAATGCCACAGAACACAGTGCTCTTTTTACAGAGGGAAAAAAAAATGAGCAGAAATTAAGTTTCCCATGGACAGAACCTGCCAACAAGACCATGCATGCCTTCCCTAAGAGCCCCCAAGCTCGTTCAAACTTGCTTAGATTAATGCAGTCATAATATGCATGGCATTTTCCCTGAGAGTTGGAAGAACAGCTAGAAAACTGAGAGGGCTCCTCCCAGATATAGTCAGACACAAACGGCTAGACTCATTACGCCTTATTCAATTTTTATCTCTGCAACAACGATTCTGCAATGTAGGATAGACTAAATTTGCCACTATCCCAAATGCATCAGTTAAGTTTGAGTGAACTTGAGCCAAAATCCATTTCTCCCAGTCCCAGTTCAGTGCCATAAACACCTCACGATACTGGTTCTAACAAGGAGTTTCTCTGAAACTTGAATTCTGGTGACTCCACAGGGTGATGTCCATGGAGATTTCTCAGCAAATAAAACAGAAGTGGTTTGCCATTGTCACTGCCATTCCCAGGTATTTTTCAACTTTCCAGTCTGACCTACAATCCTAGAATTTATTCTTGGGTCTCCTTTTCAAACACTAACCAGATATGACTTTGCTTGGCTTTCTGAGATCCATCAAAGTTCCAAGAAAATACAGATAGTCCTTGACTTTCGACCCACAATTGAGCCCAAAACTTCCGTTACTAAGCAAGACAGTTGTTAAATGAGCATACCCCCATTTTACAACCTTTCTTGCCACACTTAATGCCACACATCATTAAGTGAATCACTGCAGTTGTTAAGTTAGCAACACGGTTGTAATGTCAATCTGGCTTCCCCACTGACTTTTTTTGTCAGAAGGCCGGAAAATGTGATCACATGACTCCAGGGATACTGCAACTGTCCTAAATACATACCAACTGGCTGAATTTTAACACAGGACCATGGGGATGCTACAATAATTGTTAAGTGTGAGAAACGGTCACTTTTTTCAGTGCTCTTGCTACTTCGAATGGTCACTAAATGAATGAATGGTTGTAGGTCGAGGACTACCTGCAGAAGAGCCTACACTATTAGGCTGCATGAAAAAGGGGCTTGGATCCAAGTTGCAACCTCTCCAATTTAATACTGCAAGACTTTTAGTTTGTAACTGACTGAGGCTGAACGGTCTTCAATCAATTCCCAGTTTCTTAAGACAGCCTGGGCCCGGGAACTCTGAAAAGTTGTAGTCACAAGTCTCTAAAAAATGTTCTAAACTGGAGAACGTCAGTATACACCACACTGGAGGACAATGATGTATGATCGAAGGGGACCACCAGTTTCATTAGCTCACAAAAAGATCAATTCTTCCATGGAGTTGGAAGAAGAGACCGGTTTGTCAATGGCCACAATTGAGAAGTTGTTTCTCAGGTATCATCAAACTATCTAATTTAAATAGCTATTTTCCACTACAACTAACTCAATAGATCTGGAAACTCCACCCCGCCCCCCCCAACTTAAATTTAACAGACAGCCCTGCCAACCAACCCTGTTCTCAGTCTCCTGCCAAGGCCCTCTCCCACCAAATACCCTTTTCTTCCCAACTGCCATGGAACCTTCACCAAGGCAAGCGCTTTAATGACATCAGAGAAGCAGGAACCAATCAGGAGACCCATAGTGGACACGGTCTATAATTCTTTTGGCTGCACAGCGCAAAGGAAGGAGCCAAAATTATGCATTCTGGTTTTCATGTCCTCAAAGGAGAAGGTGTGAAATCTGCACTTCCACAGATAAAAAAAGGACAGTGGAGGATGCCCCTAAAAGAAATGCAGGTAGTCCTTGAATTATGACCATAATTGAGCTCAAAATTTCTGTTGCTAAGTGAGCCATTTGTTCAGGGAGTTTTGCCCCATTTTACAACCTTTCTTGCCACAGTTCTTAAGTGAATCACTGCAGTTATTAAGTTAGTAACACAGTTGTTAAGTGAATCTGGCTTCCCCCATTGACTTTGCTTGTCAGAAGATCACAAAAGGGGGATGACATGATCCCACGACATTGCAACTGTCATAAAAATGAGTCAGTTGTTAAGCATCTGAATTTTGATCATGTGATGATGGGGATATTGCAATGGTTGTAAGTGTGAAAAGCAGTCATAACTCACTTTTTTCAGTGTCGTTATAACTTTGAACAGTCACTAAATCAACTGTTGTAAGTTGAGGACTACCTGTACGGGTCAAAAATTTTCTGAGAATAACCTCATCTCGGTCAAAAAAAGAGAAAAGAAATAAGTTCTCATGTCCTACTTTCGTTTTGTCCATTTTACATATAATTTTGCATGGGTCTTGATATTTTGAATCTCAAAAAAATCCCAGAACATGGAAACTAACACTAATAATTTTACATTCACAATGTCAGTTGCATGTGGCTTTTTATTCCCACAACAGCCATGATAGAATTTTTATATTGTGGAAATTTTCAAGAACTGCATATTATTTACAGTGGTCCAGTAACCATGAGGGAGTATTACTGAAGAGTGATTGGCGTGGGTGTTTATAGATAATTGAATAGGTAAATTGCAAAAGGGTAGACAAACAATAAATATCAAATATTTTAATTCTTGTGAATTTAGTAGTGCCTGTTCATTACCTAATGTAATTTAAGTTGCTTGCCTAAAATATATATAGCTAAACTCAAAATGACCACCAAAATATAATTAGAGATTGAAAATACGTGCCCCCGTGGCCCTGGCTTAGATTGGTAAAATGTTGTAATGAAGAAAAAAGGTATATGAATTGTCTATCTCTGTCTCAAAAAACATAATTTCAAATGCATTACAGCATGAGAAATGTATCTTCTCTTTCTCCTCTATGCAATTCATGCCTAGAAATTAAATTAAAGATTTAATTAAAGATGAATTATATTGTCTTCACATTTTCTCCTATCTAAAGCCAACCCCTCCTTGTCAAAAATAATTTAGTTCCCCACCAATGCCCCTTCAAACTATAGAGCCAATTCCAGATGTAAACAAGGGTATAACAGTTGTCAAAGTTTGAGAAAAAGAAAAAAGAATTCAAGAAATGGCTGAATTGGATAGTCAAAAGGCAGCCTCATCTAAGCTTTGTTCTGGGCCAGAGACATTAATGCTTTATTAATCTGGAAAGCAGCAGAAAGTGAAACAAAGGGCAATTTACAGAAGCTTGTTAGCTAAGCAAAAAGAGGCGGTGGGATTTTTCTAGTTAGTACCGATATTATCATCCTAAGGATAGGCAGAAATAGCAACTTATGTGCACAGAACAGACAGCAAGGAGAAACGCTTCTCTCTCAAGGCTTGGGTGTATCTTTGCTGCAATTTATATTGCAGCAAATTCTATTATCTGTGCTGCCAATCAATCCCCCAAACACAAGATGTGAAGCTGTCCAGATCCCAAATGTTTTTCGCATGCCCTCTATTTTTTCCATGCACAGGCTTGAAATTTAAGACTCTTAATTCCTTGGGCAGAATTCTCTGTCAAATGAAGTTAATAGCATAAGGTTAATCAGATTTTCAGATTTCTCCTTCCCATCTGGGAAGCATATTCTAAATTCAGCCTAGGAGCAGGAGCTATTTGAGCTACTTGTGGCGATGTGCTTCTACATATGGACCACATTCATGGACTGGAGCAGATGTGTGCCATAGAATGGTATCCTGCGCGATGGGTTTAATTTTAATATTTGGTAAGAAGAACAAGCCACAGATGCACAGAGCTAAGAATTAAAACTGACTTCCTGAGTTGTAATGAAGCAAAGATAAGGTGATACAATCAGCCAGTTACAATTAAGGAGCCATAAATCAACTAAATATTATTTTTATGAGATTGATAAATGAGATGAAGTAAATTGGCATTGATCATTTAAGGATATTTTGGGGTTAAAAAAACCTGCTCAGCCTTTTTCATTGCCTCTAGCTCAATAAACTTCTGTATACCACCTACGGACTCTGTAGCTTGAGTGTATATGTATCTATGACATTATGTATGTGTGTGCACGCATTTTCACCATGCCAAATTTTGCAATGCTGATGACCTTGACTACTTGTTACTAGTCACTCTCTTATAAAATTGCAATCATTGACTAAGCCAGAATTCTTCAACTCATAAAGTATGTTGGGGGTAAGGAGGTGTTGCATAGTCATTAACATCATCAAGCAGTTTCAATATTTTGTCACCCTTTACTGAGCAGGGTAAAGAGAATAAAGGGGCCAGACTCCACAGGCTACATTCTAAATAGCTGGGGTCACCTTTTAACTTCTCCTAGACGTAATTTTTGGTAGGAGAGCAGAAACAGTATGTCTGGGAATGAAGCTGTCCTGGCATAGGCAAAACCACTGTCTATCCAAGGAGCTAGGCCTTAGTGATCACAAGCAGCAGAAGCGACATAATCTTGCATGTTTCAGGATTTTTGCTAGTTTGCAAAAGACTCAGGTGATCTAAATTCCAGAGAGGGCCCTGAAACACCCTAAATTACCTCTCGCTGCTCGAGAGAAGCTTGTAAAAGCCAGAACTGTGAAGGGAAATCCAAGTCCTCAATCGTGTTTTTCAGCTTTTTTTTTTTTTTTAAAGAGATCAAACTAGTAATTCCTGCAAGTCAAATCATGGAGATAGCTCAGCAGTCAGGAGAAATATAGCCACAGGATGCAGACAAAAATGACTGTAAGTTAAAGGGTGCCTTCCTTTAAATGCAATATTTCCAAAACCATCCCTTCACATGCAGGTTAAATAATCCACAGGCAAACCTGATAGGTAGGCAAAAGATAGGCACTGCATCTCAATATGATTTATTGATCCAAGTTGGTGCCTCCAAAATCAACACAATCAGCTCACTCTTGTTGCTGGCACACTAGTGTGCATGCTTTCATAGTTACCGATATAGTCCATTCACCACTTTGACCTTGAGTCCTTCTAAACAGATATTATAGAAAGGGGCTTGAAGGTGAACTGGCCAAATGACTAAAAAGAGACTCATGCTACTATACACCCTTTTTATTAAACACTGTGTTCCATTTTAGCCATTAAATTCGAGGGGGGGGGGAGCATAGAAGGTGCTTCCAGTGTGAATACAGAAAAATCCTCTCTCTTTGTTGCTGGTAAGTAAGTAAAATGCTGTCTTAAACTACACTGACAATCCCACCTACCAAGTGAGAGACTTTTCTGAATAAACATGCTGTTAATGGCATGCTATCTTTAAAAAGATTATTTCTAGGTTAAGGTGGAGAGACCTGGAATGTTAAAAAAGGGTACAAGATAAGGGCAGTTCCACAGAATTTAATATTCTGGGTCACAACAGCTTGTAATATTAAATTACAGACGTATAACGCAGCCTTTTCAACGAGATCCACTAAAGCAGACTTTTTTTTTAAGTGCTCGTAACGCGTGTGTAAAATCAACCTAGAACAATCCAACAGAAAAAAACAGTGAGGGAAAAGTCGCTAAGCGATCCATACAAATGTTAATTATTGGGGGGGGGGGGTGAGGCGAAGCGAGCCAAATGGATTACTTTTAAAGACGTACAATGTCTTTAAAACTACAACTGTCTTTAAAAAAACAAACAAACACCTCAGTTTAAAATTAAATCGCAAAATTAATCGAGGAGTGGAATTGCCAGCTTGCTCAGGAAAGGGACAGCGGGGGACTCATTTGCACCCCAAAAATGGGGTGGGGGGGAATACACGAAGGAGAGCTGCCGGTCGTCTCCTCCCATAACTCGGTTTCAAATATAACCATGGTTTTTTCTCTCTCTCTCTTTCTCTTCTCTCTCTCTTTAAAGTAAAGTTAGAATCCAAGGGCAGTTAAAAGAAAAGCAGCAACGCGGAGGCGATGCCAGGTCTCGCTCAACCCGTAAAGCACATTACATATTAACTTTATTTAGCCATTTATTTATATCGCTCTACTCCCCTTCCCCCCTCCCCTTCCCCCCCCCCCCCAAAAACCCCCTCCATTCCCTTCTTAGGGAAAGGAGGGGAAAGCTGAAGATCTCTTCTTAAAACGCCAACAATTTTGCTTTCCATTCGCTCTAATTTCAAAACACACAAACACACACCCATAGTCTCCGCTTGGAGCCGTTTGTCCATTAAAAAACACACACACACAATTAGAGAAGAGCGGATTCCTAATCGCGGTGGCTATTTTACCTTGCAGAGAGGCAGGCGAGGGGAGCCGCATTTTTCCTTCTGGCTGGTTCCTTTATTCCCTGCCGGAACCCAGTCTCTGATCCAGCTGGGCCGCTCAGTTGTCCACGCGCGATGCTTCCTCCTTCCCCCTTTTTGATCTTCCAGACAGATTCTTTCCTCCTTTTTTTCTCTTTCTTCTTTTTCTTCCTCGCTGTGGCGTCCTCCCTCCCCCTTTCTTTTTCTTCCTTCCTTTTTTTAATTGCGTCGCTTTTAATGCCGCCTCCCTTATCTGGCTTGGATTAGTAAGTTTCCCTTTACAAGCGATTGCATGGCCTTCTCCTCCTCCTCCTCCTCCTCCTCCCTCGATGCCTAAGGCGTGCACAGAGCTGGATAGACAAATCATAGGATGACAAAATAGCAATCAGATGCAAATTCCTAACCTCTGAATCAGGACCCAGCCATAAGAGAGGGTTGGGTCCTGCCCTGCTAAGGGAGCGTCGTTCAATTCCTCTTGGCGGAGGAAACATGTGCGAGAAGCCAGCCAGCCAGCCAGACGCTCGCAAAGAGACACGCCACCTGTATCTGCACGGTTCAGTCCCTTTAAAGTCCCGCGGTACTTTCGGCTCTATAACTCTAACCCTCCAAAATCCAAGCTAACAGAACCCCATTTGTGATATTCACCTACAAACAAAGCAAATCAACCATATTATAAAGCTTCCCCGGATGGCCCCGGTTCTCCCACCTCGTTAAGTCAAGGGCTGGTTGGTTCCCACGACACTCCGAACCATAAGTTGACCCAGTCTAGCGTGCCGCGCAAATTCAGCCTGCAATGTGGGAACGTGCTTATTATTTGCCTTTTTGCTGTTATGGCTGCTAGGAATTCCTCGAGTCTGCCATTTAGGCGACTTAAGTGTAGGAGTTAAACTTTAGATTACAAACTGGCACTAGGGAATTGACCAAAAAAAACCCCCACCCAGCAGCAGAAAGCGTGAGGCCGCCAGATCTGCACTGCGAAACTCCAGACACCCACCAGGTGGTAGCTTAAAAAAATGCAGACAATTGCAAGCCCTTTGCTGCCATCTAGCGTCAGCCGTCATTTTTGCAGACCCCCATATGCAAGCAGCTCTGACAAATGGCCCCAGTAGGTAATCAGCTCAGGTTGTTTGGATAGCTGGGGCCCACACGAGCCCCCGTTGCACGTTGTGTTGCTAGAAGCCCCCCACGCTCAGAGACGAAGGCTTCTTTTAAAATCCATCCGAATTTAAATCCAGCCGCCCTGAGTTATAGGTTTGCACTTTTATCACTTAGACCAGAGTTTTTCAAAGTTGCAGATGTGTAGACTTCAATTCCCAGAATCCCCCAGTCAACATGCTGAGGGTAGTTCTGCCACAATGTTGACTGACACCCCCCCCCTCCAATTCACTATATAGTGCTAGCTGGACCATTTCCCCCCCCTTTCTCCCATTTGCAACCGAGGATTAGAAGATGCTTTCTCCTTTCCCAGCCACCCCCTCCCCCCTTTTCTCTCGCAAGGCCGCTGATGGTCACTTCCGTCTCTTTCCAATTCTTCTACCCCGATTCGTGGGGTTGGGTCATATTAACAGCTGGTGGTGCTTCTTCTTGAGCCTCTGGAGGGGTGGAAGGGAAACCTACCACCAGCACCACTCCTGGTCAAGTAGTAATCCGCAAGCCAGTTTTTAGACACAATGTGGATTCAACTTCAGAGTGAACATTACAAACTCCCGCCCAATCCTATACACACACACACACACAAATATACACACACACATATATACATATATATACATATATACACACATATATATACATATATATCAAATTTATATAAAGTATATAAATTATATAAATTTATATAATTTGAAAATGGTTTGTCATGAATGCAACTGTTTGAGGGCTCCTGGATTGGAGCTGAAAGGCGAAAGGGAAGCTGTATGCTCCCACCCATATTGGGGTATATATATATACATACATACATACATACACATATATATATATACATACACACACACACATATAGTTATAGTTTAGTTATATATAGTTATAGTTATATACATAGTTATAGTTATGTGTATTTCTCTTTAGCCAGGTTCTTCCTACGTAAACCAAGATTTTTATGCAGCCCTAGTTCAGTGAAATCACAATCCACTAGTTTCTAGGCTTTTTTCAGGCAGCCAGCAAACACTCTGCTGCCCATTGGGAGACTAAGATAGATCTATTTAGGAGTTAGTCTCCTTAGTCTATCTTAAGTCTCCTTAGTCTCCCAATGAGCAGCAGGGTGCTTGCTGGCTGCCTGAAGAAAGCCTAGAAACTAGTGGATTGTGATTTCACTGAACTAGGGCTGCATAAAAATCTTGATTTACGTAGGAAGAACCTGGCTAAAGAGAAATACACATAAAGACCTATGAAAAGAAAAGAAAACAAAGTTATAGTTACACACACACACAGATATAGATATAGAGTTTCCCCCTCCTCGCACAGCTCTAGCGCCTTTAATAGCTCCGCGAGGGAAAGCGGGGTGGAGTCGGTGAGAGGCCCGTTAATTGAAAGGGATGGGTTTGGCTCTTTGGAGACGCTCCCTAAGGGCGAACTCTTGCTAAAGTCAGTTCCGCTTCTTTTCTTTGCTCTCCCTCGAGTTGGCTCTCTTTGAGTTAAAAGATCCTCCTCCTCCTCTTCCCCCTTTCTCTCCGCCAGAGCCTTGCCTATCCCATTAACGTAATTACAACAGACATTTTTGTGGTCGGCGATGGGGGGGGGGGAAAAAGACAGAAGCAGTCAAGAGGCCGAAAGTCCACGTGCGTGGAAGGAAGAGCTCCTTATCTCAAGCGGCATCAGCATCGGGTGTGATGTGATCGCGGCGCGTTTGGAGGGCCTTAATTATTATTTTTTTTCTCTTCCCCTCCCCGATCCTTGTCGTGACCATGCAGTTTTTTCTCGGATGCCCTCCGAAAAGCGCTTGGATCGCGGGGCCCATCGTCCTCAGCCAACATGGATGGCTGGCTGGCAGGAGGTGATAAGGGGGAGGTGGATCAATCAACCAACACGCTGGGGAAGGTTACAGTAACTTGCAAAGTAGATTCTGCGGAGAACATTGGGTATTAAAAAAAACCAATGTAAGGTATTTAAAAACAGTCATAGTATTAAATGCCATTTAAATAAACATGTAAAAGTGTATAAAGAAGCAGGAGCAAAATTAAGAATGCAATATATTCCGTTAAAGAACTCCAGTGGCTGCTACTTATCTCTACAAAATCTGGCTGGAGAAAATAGAACTCCTGCCATATAGTCGGAGAAAAAGAATGGATCCATGGACCAGCTCTTTTGCGTCTCTGTTCGTGGTTCAGCCAGCTTTGAGAGGCCTATTTTCATCCTTTTCGGGGATCCTGATGGTTGCAAAGAATCAGCCCCAAGCCCTTGACAATTGGAAGAGTTTGCCTTCTTGTCACATAATTGTTCTGCTCGTGGTGCCTGTGGTTGATTCCTATCTTTGGAGAAGGCCATTGAAGTGTTAAACATCTGCTGACAAAGGGGATTGGGCCCAATTTTATTTAGGTTTTAAGCCACCCAGGTTTAATGTGTTTACAATTTACAGCACACTAAAAAAAAAAAACACAATTTCAGTCAAAACATATCCAATAAAATCAAGTAAAGGCACAAAAATACAGGGAGTCCTCATTTAGCGACAACAATTGGGACCAACAACTTTGTCTTTAAGCAAAGTGTGTTGGACGAAATGTCCATCTGGGTTTAAGTTCCAAGTGGGGAGAAAGACACTGGAAACATGGAAGCTGTTTGGAAAGATGGTTTAATGGTGGACAGGACCACATGGGTTTTTTGGGTCCTGGGCAAAAATGAGCACATGGAAGAGAGAGAGACTAATAATAATAATAATAATAACAACAACAACAGTAACAGAGTTGGAAGGGATCTTGGAGGTCATCTAGCTCAACCTCCTGCTCACGCTCTCTTGTGTATGTATGTATGTATGCCTTAGAGCTTCCTGTTCCTGTGTAAGGGCAGGTATCCTGATTGGTTGTCAGACTCCCATGGTGCCATGCAGGGGTAACTGTAGGTTGTCTTGAGTTCCAGGCTTGGTTTAATCTTGCTAGGTGATGATGTAATGAAGAGGGTTTGGGGCAATTCCTATTATGTCTGAGGGCTAATCCTATCTTTGTTGGATCCTGGGTGAGGGTGTTTGCTTATGAATAGACCTAGCCATCTCTTTATCTCTTAAGTGCTGACATCTGCTGTGGGCTATTGAGGAGGGTGGGACTACTAAGAATGAGTCTGGTTCCTGCCTAAAAAAACCATGTTTCTCCATTTCTCATCCAAGGAAATATAATATTCTGCCTTTTTAATGTTTCCTATAATATTTCATTCTTCTAGGAGAGGGGTGGGTGCTAACTTCCTACAAGTGGTTGCTATGTGAAACCATGGCTGTGCTTATTTCAGCTTTCCTTTGCTTTATAGACCTACAAAGACTGGACATACTAATATATTATTAAATACAATTAAAATATGATTTAAAAGTTTGCCTAATGCCAAAAGTATGCAAAATGTGGATGCTAGTTGAGTTTCTCTGATCATTGATCAATCTCCCCCTTAAATAAATAAAAAACTTGATTTACTTTGGGGTGTGGGTGATATGTATGTCAACTTAAGGACAAATATAAACATTTTGGACATGTATACAATACGATATTTCTATAGAAAAAGTCAATATATTATGTTCAAGAACAATGTACCATTAAGGAATTGAAAACCTGAGTATTTTCTCAGGTGAGTGAACCTCTTTAAGATATTTTTCAGTATGATTTTGTGCTGCTCTATTTCAGGGGTCTCCAATCTTGGCAACTTTAAGACTTGTGGACTTCAACTCCCAGAACTCCCAGCAAAGCTGGCTGAGGAATTCTGGGAGTTGAAGTCCACAAGTCTTAAAGTTGCCAAGGTTGGAGACCCCTGCTCTATTTGATGTTTCTGGATGCATATCACCTGTTTCTCTTTTACAGTTCTTGGGTTTTTTTCATTATGTAAAGCATCTATGGTCATTCAGAACCAGACATTCTCAAAACCAATGTACATATATAAATAACGGCATATATGAAAACATCATTATTATTGCTAATGAATAAAACTAATTTTGAATAAATGTATCCTTCGCATTAATGGTTTTTCACAGCTGTTTATTGCTCATTCATATTTCAACTAGAGCAATTTATGTGTTTAACTACTGTTGTAATTTACTTTTTGGGTGTATTCTGAAAATAAACTTTGTCAGCAAACAACAGGGCATAAAAAAAATAAGAATATGCCACGGAGCCTCTGGGTCCAGCATTTGATTTCTCACAATAACTATTCAGGTGGTCCAGGTTTGGTCTGGTGCTCCAGGTACTGGCTCAGAAACTGGGAGACTGTGAGTTCTAGCCCCATCTTAGGCAAAAAAGCTGGTTGGGTGATTTTGGGCCAGTCACACCCCCTCAGCCCAACCCACCTCACATGGGTGGTGGTTGTGGGAAAAATAGGAAGAGGAAGTA